TGCATACTTTTAGCTATGCCACGAACCTCACAGATCCGTTTGGAGCTTGGATCAGGTTTCAGGCTCTAGATTCCCGACAACAGTATGGCAGAAGGACTAGAACCGCAGCAGTTTTGGGTTTAGGGTTTAGGGTTTAGGGATTGGAGTTTAGGGTTTAGGGTTTAGGGTTTAGGGTTTGGAGGATGGCCAAGTAGGGGGCTTAGGAGTCTAAGCGGTTTAGGGTTTAGGGGTTCATTTTTAAGGGGTTCTAAGTTAGGGGTTTAGGGTTTAGGTTTTGGTTCAGGGTTCAGGGTTCAGGGTTTAGGGTTTATTCAAGCCCTGATGGAGTACACCTTTATGTCGAGAAGCCTGACAGAAGCAGCTCGACGTCTAAAATTCAGGTCTCCGTTTCTACCAAATTGCCACACAAACTTGCAAACCCTAGACACTGAACCATCGGGAGTGTAGGGAGCAAGGCTTAGGGTTCAAGGAAACCTCGCAGCATGCTTCCCGAGCCCTGGCATGTTTGGGGAATTGAACCCAGCACGCGCAACACCACCTCGTGAGGCTTGCTGTAGGGTTTAGGGTTTAGGGTTTAGGGTTTAGGGTTTAGGGTTTAGGGTTTAGGGTTTAGGGTTTAGGGCCTTGTCTTTTTTTTTTGCGGTGGGTTGCTAAGACAAGAAATCTAGCATGTTGAGGGTATATCCGCCGAAGGCCCCGGCCTAAGGCGTCTGCGTCTGGGGGTAAATGAACAGCCCACCTCCTTTAATTCCCCTCAATAACCCTGAACAGAGGGAGTCCCTCTACATCCCCCCTCAATACCCTGGTGGACCCTGCTTGATTCTTCTATGCGCCATCCTTCCCCTGAGTGGACCCCACAAGCCACTGTGCAATGTTGCTGCCGGACCCCACTGAGACCTAGACCTCCGAGCAGGGTGTTAAGGTTTGGGGTTTAGGGTTTAGGGTTTAGGGTTTACGGTTTGGGGTTTAGAGCCGCCTGGGTGCTCCTATCTAGACTGTAGACCTCCGAGCACCATGGCAAAGAGAGAAAGGCAGGAAAAGGAGGCCTGGCCGGGCAGATTTAAACCCCCCCAAAACCCCCAAAACCCCCAACCCCAACCAACCCCTAAACCCTAAACGCTAAACCCTGAACCCTAAGCTGAGCAAAAACCCGTACAAAAGGCTAAGCGCCTCCAGGGAAAGAGGCTTAGCAAGGGTTGGGCTGCAGCAACAAGCATGTGTTCGAGGCACTAGCCCTAAACCCTAAACCCTAAACCCCAAACCCCAAACCCCAAACCCTAAACCCAACCCCCCCCCCCCCCCCCCCCCCCCCCCCCCCCCACCCCCCCGAAAAAACAAACCCAAAACCCAGGGCTCCGGCTGCCGCGTCGCTCTTTGCGGCCTCTGCTGCCCTCGCCTGGCATTTAGCAGGGGCGAAGACCCCCCTTTTTGTGAGGGCGAATAGAGGGCTTGTAGTGGTTCATTATATTGTGAGGGCTTAGAGGGTTTGTAGTGGCTCATTATATTGTGAGGGCTTGGAGGGTTTGTAGTGGTTTATTATAGGGTTTATCGTAGGGATTTAGTATAGGGTAGGATTTGTTTTTGGATTTACTACAGGGCTTATTATCGGGTTTATCATAGGGATCCATTCTAGGGTCTATTGTAGGGTGTATTATTGGGCTTTTTTTATAGGGTTTATCGTAGGGTTTATTATGAGGGTTTGTGATAGGGTTTATGCTAGGGTTTCTTATTAGGGTTTACGATAGGGTACATTATAGGGTTTACTATAAGGGCTATTGAGGGCTTGCAGGGTTTATAGGGTTTGCAAGGCTTGTACGGTTCATAGGGTTTGCGGGATTTCTAGGGTTTCTAGGTGCTCCAAAAATCATCGTGTCAAGTCTAGGATTTATAGGGCTTATAGGTTTACAGGGCTTAGAAGTTTCGGGTTTAAGGTTCAGGGTGCAAAAGATTCAAATGATTTCGGTCGCCCCCGACCTAAGCCTTCTGTGGTCCCCCTCCCACACCCAGCTGTGCGCAGAATTGTATCGTGCTGACCTAAGCCCTAAACTCGAAACACCAAACCCTAAACCCTAAACCCTAAACCCTAAACCCTAAACCCTAAACCCTAAACCCTAAACCCTAAACCCTAAACCCCAAACCCTAAACCCTAAACCCTAAACGCCAATCCCTAAACCCCAGAAATCCAAACCCCTCAAACCCTAGCCCCTAATCCCTAAACCCCACAAACCCTAAACCCTAAACCCATCAAGCCTTGATTGTGCTCAAACCATGACTTACGATCGGGGCCTGGGGCCGCACCTAAAGTTTAGGGTTTAGGGTTTAGGGTTTAGGGTTTAGGGTTTAGGGTTTAGGGTTTAGGCCCTTGCCGAGAAACTGAGCAAAAACCCGTACAAAAGGCTAAGCGCCTCCAGAAAAAGAGGCTTAGCAAGGGTTGGGCTGCAGCAACAAGCATGTGTTCGAGGCACTAGCCCTAAACCCTAAACCCTAAACCCTAAACCCTAAACCCTAAACCCGAGAATCCTCAACCCTAAGCCCCAAACCCGATTTCTTCCTCTGCCCAGCCTTCAGGGCACTGGCGAGGGGGATGAAGACGCCTTACTTCAGAGTTTAGGGCTTGGGGAACTGGTGAGTATGTCAGGCCCCAAACCCGATATCATGCAGAACCAACTCCTTCGCGTCGGCCGCCACCAAGGGCATTTTTTGGCCATTCTGCCTGAGGATCGTCCAGAACTCACCAACTTTGTTGGGCTGAGCCAATTTCTTTGATGCTTGAAAACATTGGAAGATGCGCAGCCCTGCGAACAAAATATGTGAAACATGTAGCACTGGCCTTTGTGAAGCCAGCATGGTCTTATGCTCAAACAACTAGCTGTTGTGCATATGTCTCAAAATGGAAAACGGAAATGATAATGAATTCGTATCTACATATAAGAATATTTATATGCACAGAGAATATGTGTTTGAAAGATCTAGGCCCATTCTTATCTTACGGCACTAAGGGAAGTATCAAGGTTAAGCCTCGTAACACCACGAAGCAAATTGATTACATTGCATAAAGTTTCGTGGATCATATACATATATATATATATATATGAACAAAAAATATATACATATATATATGCTACCCCCCCCCCCAGGCGCCCACGCTTCAGCATGGTTTCCAGATAAAAATACTACGTTCCGCCATGCGCGGTGGTTTTTAAAGGGCGGAGGGACTCCCATAAAAACTCCAGCAGAAGTGACCTGAACAATTTGCTCATTGCATGCTATGATTTAAATAGAAATCCTATGCATGTGAATAGCGTTCCTATCAAATTTAATGGGGTTCATGGGATTCATTTTGTTTTAATAGGAATCTTCTTAAAATGAAAAGGAAACCCTTTAACATGAATGAGAACCCGAGAACCCTTAATTCCATTAAATTCTATGGGAACGCTATTCAAATGACAGAATCCTATTTAAAATTGATAGGAAACATATTGCATTTGCAGGAGCCTTATTGAAAGTTAGGCAAACTATGAAAATTTATAAACAGAAAATAGGAATCCTCTATTCAAACCCATAGGAACCCTTATGAAAATTGATCGGCCTGTATAAAAGTTAATAGGAAGCCCATTAACATGAATAGGAACCCGATTAAGAACCCAATTTTACTGAATAGATTCCTAATAAACTGAAGAGGGCCCCTACTAAAATTAATAGGAACCAATGGACTCCTATAAAGAAAGAGTGTGAACCCCTACATAATAGAAATCCTACTAAAATGAATATGAGCCTAAACCAATACGAATCCCTTTCAAACGAATGAGCTCCCTATTAAACATGAAGACGAATCCCATTGACATGAGTAAGAGCCCTGAAACTGATAGGAATCTTATTGCATTAGTGGGAGCCTCATTAAAATAATTAGGAACCTTATGAAACTTTATTGGCATCCTATGAAAATCAATAGGAATCTTTCATTGAATTCATAGGAATCCTATCAAGTTGTTTGCGGATAAAAGCTAATAGGGAGCCTATTGGAATGAACCTTAACAAATCAAAAAGAACGCGGTTGTAATTCATAGGAGTCTTACTCAAATGAGAAGGATTCTTACATTCTTACTAAGCTTAATAGGAACTAATAGGACTCCTGTGAACAAATACGATTCCTTTAACAAGTAATAATAGGAATCCTACTGAATGAATATGAGCCTAAACCAATAGGAAGCCATCAAAATGAAGAGGAACCCTTACCAAATTGAAAAGACCCGGTTATAACTAATAGGAATCCTGTTAAAATGAGAAGCAATCTTACTAAAATGAATAGGAACCAATAGGAGAATAGGACTGCTGTATAAAATAATGTGAATCGGCCTAAAAGATTGTTTTTGTGGGACAGTACAGCGTTTTTGCACTCGCCATGCCTCGAAAGTGCTGTACTGTCCCAAAAAAACCAATCCTTTTAAGGCAAAAAGTGCAAAAAATGCTGTACTGTCCCAAAAAAACCAAAAAAACCAAAGTTTGGAGACCTTGGGCTCCTCCAGGGCCTGGAGGTCTCCAAACTTTGGTTTTTTTGGTTCTTTTGGGACAGTACAGCGTTTTTGCACTCCCATGCCTCGAAAGTGCTGTATTGTCCAAAAAAAACAAATCTTTTTGAGGCAAAAGGTGCAAAAATGCTGTACTGTCCCAAAAAAACCAAAAAACCAAAGTTTGTAGACCTCCAGGCCACTTGGCGTCCAAGGTTTCTAAACTGTTGTTTTTTTGGTTTTTTGGGACAGTACAGCATTTTTGCTCGTTTTGGCCTAAAAGATTGTTTTTTTTGGGACAGTACAGCGTTTTTGCTGTTTTGGGCCGAAAACATTGGTACAGTAGAGCGCTTTCGTGCTCGCTGCCCTAGGAGGCTTCGAAATCCTAAACCTCTAAATGGGGGGGGGGGGTACCATATATATATATATATATGTATACACGCACATACACACACATGTATGTCTAGCCTTCTTACGGTAAGAGAACGCATGTTAGTCAGCGACATCTGCCGAACCCCCCGCGTCTTCTGGTGGGTCGATGGTGGCAGTGCCCATCATTGGCAAGCAGCACCACAACAGTGGGGTCACCACGCCCATAATGCCGAGCAGGGTCAGTGCCGAGTATATCTCATCACCCAGCAGCTCAGGAAGCAGAACGTGCTCTATGGCAAAGAACATCGCAAACATGAGAGCAGCAAGCACTAGGAGTGCCATGGAAAGAAGTATGTGGCCTCGAGTGCTTTTGCTTGCTTGGCGTGATCGGTACGCCAAGCGCAAGGCCACCTGCACTATGCTGGGCAGTACCAGCAGCCAGTACAACGGCAGTTTGACGAACATGTAAAATCTAGCAATCTTGGCACGCCTCCCTTTCCACTGCAGCAGAAAGTCGATAAAGATCCACGGAATCGGGCAGGTCGCCTGTACTACGCGCCAGTATGAGAAGGCATTGTTGGCCAGCTGATGAGCCATTGCCCTCCGCACCCTGGTGCGCACGATGCTTTCGAACTGCTCAGGGGAGCCGAACCAAGTCGAGATGCACCGAAGAATGACGCTACGGTCACCTATGATTCTCCAATAACCAAGGGGGGAAAAAGGGTTAGTTAAACTTTAATATTCCTACTAAGTAAGGAAGCCCAAAAAGTTTAAAGTTCAACTAAAGGCGAAGTAAGTCACATATGATTCTCTCTCCGTCGGCACCGATGTGACCACAAGTACAACAGTGCGACTTGGCATCTTCGATTGTGAAGTGAGCGACTTGCCGCTGCATGATGTCGATGCTGCGACAGTGCAGAAGAAGCAAGTACGCCATAAGAAACAAACATGGGGTGGCAAGAGCACTAATGAGCACGACGCCCCACGGCCAAAGCGGTACATCGATTGCCATGAAGATGATTGCGAGAATGCTGAGGCCCAAATTCCCGATGAGGAGGACCGGGCCGGTAAAAATTGGGCAGATCACCAGACTCTTCTCAGCATCGGTCGCTTGGCAATGCAGAAATGCGGCTATCTCGAACACGCACCACCTCGAACACGCACACATCAAGCACATTTGAGTTTTGTTTTGGTGCTTCGCAGCATGGCAAGAAGGAAACTTAAGCCCCGACGCCTATACCCGAAACCCGCAAAACACTCAGCAAGAACTCTGAGTTCGCCCTCTTAACCCCATACTTGCCCCAAAGCTCACAAACAAATAGCAACAATTTCTGGAGACCCCCTTAGCCGCAATCTGGAGACGAAGCTTGTGTCCCAAAGTACGAGAAGGGACTGCGACTGCTTCAAAATCGCGCCCAGGCTGACCATGGCTTCAACCTTTAGGGTTTAGGGTTTAGGGTTTAGGGTTTAGGGTTTAGGGTTTAGGGGACTACTAGAATTAGGAGCCTGAGTGATTAGAATAGGTTTCTGGGGGGTATTACAGTATAGTTATATAGGGTCCACAAGGGAATACTATCAGTAGTTTTTCAGACCCCTATCTTCGCCTGGAACAAGCAGACCCGGATCAGGTCTCCTTCCTAACCCAACCCTTCCCCCCATGCAAAATTTTGTGACGCCACCCCTCCCGCCCCTCCCCGCCCCCCCTCCTTGTGGGACCCCCCAATCCCCCCCCCCCCCCCCGCCGCCTCCCTAGTGCCGTCATCTCCACATACTGCATGCTCTGGGCCGGCCCGGCTGCCGAGGTGGTGCGCGCAAGCGTTTGCAATTACTTGAAGGTGTACGGGTTAGGGTTCAGGTTCAGGGTTTAGAGTTCATGGGTTGATATAAGCAGGGTTCTGAGTACCTGCAATACAATTTAGAGGTTACCTTCCTTATACTCCTACTCTGAACTGCCCATGAACCTTCAAGTAGGGGTGTTATAGGGGTGTTAGGGTTTGTTTAGGGGCTTAGGGGTGTTTAGGGGTTTTGACGGTTTAGGGCTTTAGGATGCTTGGGCTTCAGGATGCCTAGGGTTTAGGGTTTAGGGTTTAGGGTTTAGGGTTTAGGGTTTAGGGGTTAGGGGTTAGGGGTCAGGGTTTAAGGTTAGGGGACCTGTGAACTGGTGCCTTGAGTGTGTCATCGCTTTGGTTGACGCAAGCGATGTCCAGGAACACCCGCTTCCGCCGCCGCCACAGCACCAGCGCCAAGTAATAGCCCAATGCCCCGGCAGGCACGCACAATCTCCGCAGAACTCTGATTTTGGGCCAATACAGGGTCGCATATATGGTGAAGACCACCATGGCCATAAGAGAGCCGACTATGAAGGCCGGCAAGCCATTGTTCCTTAGTTGTCCAGTATGCAGCGGAACTAAAGGGTAACCTTTAGGATTATCAGGGGATTCGACTACCCCAAAAAGGTTAAAGGTTGCATACTCTACGACAAGGTTCAGGAAGAGCACGCACAAGTACTTGAGCCATAGTTTTGTTTGCCAGCTGTGTGACCAAAACTCATGAATCTGGGCCGTCGTCTCACTAAGACCATGGAGCTTATCATAGTCTTCCTTGGTAGCCCAGAAACCATAGTCACAACATTCTGGTCCTCTTTGTGGGTACCTCAAATATTCGGGGCCACCTGATAGTAGCAAGCCCAAAGGGACCATAATGTAGAGAACTGACCAGCACAAAATCAGCGTGCCCCTGTTGCGGTTGGTTACCCTTTATAAGGGTACCTAGCAACCCCTAAAAAAAGCCGAAGGGCACCAGAAAGCCAGCATAGGGGTCTTCATGAATTAGAACAGGGTTTTGGGAGGTTCTAAGAGTACAATTATATAGGGACCATATAAGGGACTACAATTAGCAATTCTTCGACCCCTGTAGCACCAAGCTTCATGCCGCATAAGACCCGGGCCACGTTGCAGCAATCGAAACGTGTGGATTCCCCGCACGATTTGAGGCCTAGTGGCCCGCATTTCGGCCAAGAGCATGACGAAACCTACAAGGGCGACAAAGGTTAGAGGGTGTTCCCTACTCCGGAGTAGACCCTGGAAAAACAACATATACTTTTTAGGTACAAGTATCAATAATCGGAACCCAGAACCCCAAGAAAAGGCAGTAAAGTAGAGTGCTCCAAAACCCAGGGTTTGAGGCATAGTGGGTGACTGCACGTTCTTGCAAAGCAACGCCAAAAAAGAAACAAGACCATTTCTAGTTCATGGTTGGGATAATATTAAAAAAGCATATTCTTTTTTAATCGTTATAGGGTTTAAGTACCCGTAAAAATGTAAAGTGGTACCCAACTATGACAAAGATTTACTCGGGCAAATGCAGAAAGCTCTCGAGCATGGGATTCCACACGTCCGCTGTGCTCATTGAGCTGGCTGAGGAGGAGCCAATTTCCGAGACCTCCTCAGCATTCTAGGGTTTAGGGTTTAGGGTTTAGGGCTACTTCGTGTCTAAAGTTAGCAGCAAACGGCCGCGCAATTGTTGACATCTTCTGTCCATACATGTCTGTAATCAACTTCCACCCGCCCACCCCAAATCCCCTTCCCAAGGCCAACCCAACAAGCCCAAACCCTAAACCCTAAACCCCAAACCCCAAACCCTAAACCCTAAACGCTAAACCTTAAACCCTAAACTTAAACCTGAAACCCTAAACCCTGTGCCATTAGCTGCGTGGCCAAGTGGGTGCTCGTGGGACCTTCCATGGGCACGCCAAGGCAGACTTCCAGGCCATCACTCCCGGCAAGCTGCCCTGTACCTAGGTTGTACAGTAAGGGTTTAGGGTTTAGGGTTTAGGGTTTAGGGTTTAGGGTTTAGGGTTTAGGAGGTCGGCTTTTCTAAAACGAGCCTACGAACCAAACAAAAATCCTGTTGCTGAAGAGCCATGCTGCTCATGGCACTGAAGTGGATGCACACATGTGGATTTGCCGCCCGGCTAATCCACCCAGATAAGGGCTTGAGTGTAGAAGAGGGTTGTTGGGTTTAGGGTTTAGGGTTCAGGGTTTAGGGTTTAGGGTTGTTGGGTTTGAGGGTTTTTTTCAGGGCTTATGTGCCGACAGCACCTCCCCAGCCTCAGTATGTTCCCACCCCGAGCCCTGAACCCTGTGGCCATGAACCTCCACACGAGATATTTCGCTTCTGGTTACATTCTCAGGGGGTCGCTACCAAATGCCCAAAACCTTTTCTTGCAGGACTTGAGCAGCTGACATGGAGCTCCATAGATTTCACCCCGACGTGATGTTCGCAACTGGTTGGGGTGAAAGACCCCTAAACCCTACCTTGGACGACAAAACCCTGACAAAAGTGGGTCAGGAACCCAAAGCTGGGGTTTCCGGGAGATTTTGTCAAAAAACCTGGTTTTGACTAACAGAACCGGGCTCGTTCAAAATATGATGAATAGAACCCGTAAATGCCCGCCGGAAAACCCGTTTAAAACCCATAAAAGAACCGTCGGCTTCGTTTTCGGCCTGCGAAACCCGGTTTCCAGAACTGGGTTTTGAAGTAGAACCCTCGTTTTTTGGGTTTTGGTTGCTGAAAGTAAGCCCTAAACCCTAAAACCCTAAAACCCTAAACCCTGAACCTTGAACCCCTTCGCGGTGCATGGAGGGGAGCACGCGGGACTCTCTCCAGTGGCGTCCTACACCCTCAGCCCGAAGCCTTCGAAAGGCCCTGGGCTCTGGTCTAGCACCTAAAGGCCATATTACGGTATAGGGTTTTGGGTTTAGAGTTTTAGGGTTTTAGGGTTTAGGATTTATGAAAGCAGGGTTTATATTTCTGAAATTCGTATGTGTCTATAAGGTTCCTTTTCAATATTGGTGAATACATTGGGTGTCCTTTTGGGGGTACAAGAAATATGAACCGCACTTGATATGGGTATAGGGTTTAGGGTATAGGGCTTGGGGTTTAGCGAAAATCGATAACCCTTATGAGCGGAACCCCCCAAAACGGTACCTCAGATGGCTAGCCCTAACACACGTGCGCCCAAACAAGGACCCACCAGGTACATTCATGCCCGCTGGTGGCCATAAACCCTAGACCCTAAAACTGTGGTTTAGGGTTTAACGTTGAGGGTTTAGGTCGAATGCAACCCACTACGAAATATGCCTGCTGTATTTCTCGGGATTTAGGGGCCCATGGAAATTCTATGTCAGAAGGGCGGAGGACGGAAAGGCTCTGAACGGCTCGAGTGGGCGTTCTTTGGCAGTAGCTTCCCCTAACAGATACCTTGCGTATGACCCTAAACCTCAAACCCTTAACCCTAAACCCCAAACCCTAAACCCCAAACCCTAAACCCTAAACTCCAAACCCCAAACCCTAAACACCCGAAAAGGGGTCCTAGTTGAGAGCGCGCCCTCAGGGCTTTGGGCTTCAAGGCTCTGGTGGTTCAGGGCGCCTGTCTTGGGTTGAGGGTTAGGTTTAGGGTTTAGGGTTTGGGGTTTGGGGTTTGGGGTTTAGGGTTAGGGTTTAGGGTTTAGGGTTTAGGGTTTAGGGTTTAGGGTTTAGGGTTTAGGGTTTAGGGTTTAGGGTTTGGGGTTTAGGGTTTAGGGTTTAGGGTTTAGGGCTCAGGGTTTAGGGCTCAGGGCTCAGGGTTCAGGGTTCAGGGTTTAGGGCGAGGGTTTGGGAGATAGGGCTGAGGATTCCGAATCCTACGACTTAAGGTTTAGGTTGGGATGTTCCCCCCTTATACTAACAGTCCTCAATGGGGATTCTAGACCCCCTCTTCTAATCCCTAGTAAGGATTGGTAGTATAAGGGGGACATTTCAAGGTTTAGGAGTTAGGATGAATCATCTGATGGGGTTGAGGGTTTAGGGTTTGCAGGTGCTAGGGGCTGATTTGCAAGACATTTCCAAGTTTCAATGGGCCGCAATCCTACCGGGCGAAACACATCTAGTCCGTAGGATTTGTCTGACTTTGAATACCCGCCCCATTGTGGGCTTGGGGTCTTTGCGCCCGTGGAGGCCAAAGCCCTAAACCCTAAACCCTAAACCCTAAACCCTAAACCCTAAACCCTAAACCCTAAAGCCTAAAGCCCAAACCCTAAACCCTAAGCCCTAAACCCTAAAGCCAAAGCCCTAAACTGAAACCCCCGCGCCCATGTTGGAGAAGGAACCCCTTGCTCGAGAGTCTCGTCTTCTGCTTCTGAAGTCAGCCGAGGAGCTGCTAAAGTGACTCAGCTGCGTCTGCTTGCAAGACTCCTCAAAGCCCCTAAACCCTAAGCCCTAAGCCCTAAACCCTAAACCCTAAACCCTAAACCCGAAACCCTATGAGGAGTTTGGGTCTTGTGGCCTACGACCGGAACGCGAGCATAACAAATCCTAAGGGCCTACCCAGTTATGGTTGACAAAGGCCTTGTCGAACCGAAGGACGGCCAGGGTGTAGGGTTTAGGGTTGTGGGGGTGTAGGGTTACCTAAACCATCAAGCAGCTCAGCTTCACGAAGCCCCGACGTGTTTGAGACGTAAACTCCACAAACTGATACGTCCCTGAACCTCTAGTCCACACACACACAGAAAAGGCTGCTTCAGCACCTCGGATGACGCTTTAGAATTCATACGGCTTCGGGGCTTAGGGGGTCAGGCTTCGGGGGGTTGAGATGAAGTGAACGCGGTATGAGGAAGAGCCCTAAGCCCCGAGGGCTTAAAACCGCACACCCCACCTCAACCGATGCACATCCCTGCACCCGAAACATAAACCCTCCCTAAACCCACAACCCAAAGGAGGATTTGATCGAAATCGTAGGCCGTTTCTGGCACCCGGCACCCTAAACTACATGGAGTAGGGTATATATTTCTTGTACCCCCAAAAACAGTAATATAAAAAGGAACCTTATATACACTCACCAAAAACAGTAATATAAACCCTACTTCACATCTTACTGGCTGAGAGGTTGAGTGAGAAAACTTTGACCTTTGGGTGTCAAGGGAGCTTACAGCATGAGGTTCAAGGTTTCTCTGTTCCCTGCTCAGCCGCTCTCTGGCCTTTTTGTGCACTAGCAACCGCGAAACCCTGGCCCAAAATTCAGATCGACCCTTCTGCACCCGAAACCCTAAAGCTACAAAGGGCCTGCACTCTAGTTGAAGGGTTGTGGGTCTAGACTTCGGGGTCGACACACCTGGTTAAATCCTGAACTCCTAAACCCTAAACGCCAAACCCGAAACCCAGAACCCTATGAAACAATGTAATATCCGCAACCCCCCCAAAAATGCAACTCTGGTCTTGGGGCTGGGGTTTTTCCTTAAGGCCATTCTTCAACCTTAAACGACCCTGAAAAAAACTTCTCCCTTCCCCCCCCCCCCCCTTTTCCGGTCTAACCTTTGTACCTTAAGATCCCCAAACCTGGCATTTTTGTGGGTTGCCTTAGAAGACCATAAGGTTAAGGACTTCGGGGTTTGATAACAATATCCTACAACACAGAAGTTCGCCGGTTCGCATGATCCGCCTTTTGCTTCAACAATGAAGACGAGGCAAGCAGAGCCTTTGGTTTTGCGCATCGTTTCTCCACAGCCCCGACCCAAGGTACCCCAAGGCCAAAACGAGGCTCTAGTAAGGCTTCATTCGTCCTTGGGCCCATACGTTGGGTGGGGGGGGGGTAGGGTAGTTATCTATGGGAGCCCAAAACTTCGTGTGCACAACGCTCTTTCAAACTTATACCCTGCACCTT